TATTACGATTTCTCTTTACTATCATTGTTGTGTTGTAATAGTCATGTAATAGTCGTGATTTTGGTGTGGTCTTGGCACCGTGAGCCACTCGCTATACTGAGCCACTCGCTATACAGATACGTTAACAAAAATCAGAATAAGACTGAAACATGACTATTTCATGTAATTTGCGTACAAAAAAGGTCAGATGATATTCTGAATGTGTACTGCCTCAATATTCCGCATCAACACATCCAGTATCCTTGCACTTCTTCTTATCACACACTTTGTGAAAGTCCTCGTGTGCCTTTGCTCCCTCACCAATAAGTTTGCGGAACTGTTCAAACTCACAGCTTGCACCAGGTCCGTCCTGGCATGCAGGAATTGGGCGTGGGGCCGTGTTGGCAATGAACCTGACGTAGATACCTGGACCGTCACCGTGTTCAGCTCCTCTATCGCATGTCATCTTCTCCATGCCCACGTGCCCAAGGAAGGGAATCAAATCGCTCATTTTCCATGCACGCGTCCAATTAATGTGATCAGTAGGAAACTGTTCAGCCGCATTGGATGAGCTGTTGAAAAGTCCCAGGGCTGTTGCAATAAAAGGGGGTACTTCACGGTGGGTAAAACCGAGAAAGAAACGTTGCTTATCGGGCCAGCCGTCACCAGGCGTGCCGTGTTTCTCAATATGTGCAAAGAGTTCGGATTGCGCTTGCAGCCAGGGAAAACCGAGGTAAGGCGACAGTGGATTGAGAGGGCCGACCATGTGAGCATACTTCAGGTCCCAGGCATACTCGTACGCCATCCATTCCGAGTCTGTGAATTGCTCACAAATGGGGCTGCGCTCGCCTTTGATGGCAGATTCGTAGCCGCAAAGCATTTGAAAGCCTACAATGTCCTTGGGCTCCAGCTTGAAGGGTACGTACGGCGAAAGTCTCTTCGCAACGCTCTTGCCGTACAGCTCAATAACCTTTTCCTGCTCCTTTTTGCCCGGCTTCTTGGAAAAGTTCTTGCAGGACTTGTGTGGAATGAGGTACTCCATAGAGCCATTCTTGTTCTCCGTGATGCGCACAATCTCAATGTCATTCTCTTGAGGGAAAGCCTTGATGAAGTTTTCGGCAGTGTCAAACGTCCTACTCTTCTTGTCCGCCAATATTCTCCTTGTTTCTGGGACGAGATTTGGATACCGCTGCAATAGATGTTTTCCAACATGCTTTGCGTCTACCGCTCCTGATGGGGTCAAATCTTCCAATTTGTCCTCCAAGATTGGTGATTGCCATTTGCTCATAAAAGCCAGCGGTCCTGACCACCCCTGTCTGTGCTTCTCCAGTTTCCAAAGGAAAGGACTGATGTACTCTTCGTACTCGTCATCATTCGAATAGATAGCGCCATGGCGAATAATGTAGCTTGCTGCTGTGACATGGCAGCCTACCGGTGGTGTGTGCTCGAGACCGAAACCTGCTTGCAGAATGAGTAAATTGTTCCACAGTCAGTTTCGCAACACAAGGTACTAACCTATAGCATCGAAGTAGGGTGATATGCCAGGAAGATGCAGCAGCGGGTCGAACTTGTAGTTTTGCGAATGCTCAAGTGGCCTAAGTGGTGACTGTGATTGGCCTTGAGTCTGTAGAAACGAGGGTAATGTCAAAGCCGAGGCTGGAGCAGCCAACAAGAAAGCAGAGAAAAACATCGGAGCTGTCACCGGAGAAGCTTTCCGTGCAATTATGGGGCCAATTGCAGCTATCTACAAGGATGGAATTTAAGAACCACGACATGGGGCGACGCGCTGTTTTGTTGTCTTTCTAATATTCAATGACGTACATGGTCCCACTAGGTACTTTGGATGCGCTAGTCCAACACGCCGCACAAACGCGGCAGGGCCAAGGGCTTGGATATCGTCACTCGCAGCGTGTTATCTACACCTATGTATTCAGGATCTGTGCCGTCTGCTGCGCATCGCGTTCAAGCCTAGGAAGCATGCATAGAAACTGCTCTCGACACTTCTCAGATGGCACAAAATCTTCTCTAAGTATCATCAAGGGCTTGCGAAGATGGAAAAGATAACAATTTTAGATTGTGCAAGCAAGAGTATTAGACTATGAAGACTGGTGGGTATTGCCAGCTGCGACACCGTCGTGACCGTTCCACAGCCGGATACATGTCGCCAAGTATATTGTCGCATGTCGTGAACGGGCCAGGTGGGCAGGCGACGCGTAGAGAGACACTACTTCATCACCATTGCTCTTCATCAAGGTCTTCGTCTCCTGCCACAACTTTACGCGCACAAAGACCACGGCGTTCTCATCTGCTTGACCAACGCTCTGTTGTGAGCGCTGTCCATTGTTCGTCTTGTGATGAAAGCCGTTGCTTAGTTTGTCGAATGCAGTCGCAACATCGTCATGGAGCTGATCAACCGGTGATGTCTGCCATCCGAAGTAGTATGCTTTCTGCAGTAGCAGTGACAAGCATCCACGTTTTGGTGATGTTCGTATTAGATGCTAGCCGTAGCATCACAGACCAAATAATCATGTCCTAAATAATCAGTCGGATTCATGTAGACTGCAAGTTAAATGAGATTTGTAAGAAGCCTGGACTAGCACGACGCCTCAACGCATTGATGCCAACGCCGGTGGCGGAGTATGTGCGAAAGTAGACATTGTGCGAGACCCAAGGCGACTTTCTCGAGGGGAAGAACAGGAATCATACCAGTTGACATCTGACAGTTGTAACTTTCTTGCGCGCTGGTTGCTGCGATTCGTACCGGCCTTGTCAAGGCGGGGCTGCGCATATGGATTCGGAGTCTTGTCCAGACCTTGATATAATTTAGTATGTTTCCCATTGGTGTTAGGCTGAAGGGTGTAAAGAAATGGTGATTCACCAGTTGTGTCGTCGGCATCCTCGCGAGCTTCGTTGTAGTTCAAAACAAGGCTCTTGATGCGCTGACGTTCCTCTGTATCGGCTTGTTGCTTGTTGCGCATCGCGACAGCAAAAGTTGAGTCTGAAGGTAGGTCAATAGATCGGGTTTGCGTGCGATTGCCACGTTTGCTAAGCAGCGAGAACTTCATAGTCTGCGATGAAGGTGGAGCAACTGGAGCCGGTGCTTCGCCTCCACTGTCTTCGGCATTTACTGGAGCCTCTCGGGCGCGCCGCATGGGCAACGGCACATCAAATACAGGCTTCCGATCATGCTTGCGCGACTCTGCGCTCTCAGACATGAGCTTAGCAAGCTCACGGTCGAACTCGGCATCAGCCTCTGGGTCGCGTTCATCTTCCTGGCGTGTCACGACGATGCGCTCCTCTTCCTCGTCGGACGAAGCTTGCTTGACAGGTTCATCATCTTCTGACTCGTCTTCTTCCTCACCTGATGACTTATCGCCTTCCCCTTCTGGCATCTCAACATCCTCGTCGTCTGGGCCATCTAACTCGTCCTCAGACGCGGAAACATCATCATCATCGGGCTCCACAGGCTTATCGGTTGCTGTTGTCTGGTAGTTTTGCTTGACAGCTTCGGCAAAAGCATGTGAAGCTTCTTCTGGGTCGGTGATCATCTTCCACTGTGGGCGAACAAGATTGTATGCATCCTGAACAATGAACTCTACATCCATAGGCAGGGCCTCCTTCATGCAAACGTAATACTGCAAAAAGGTAAGAAAGAAATCGAGCTTCTTCTTTGCAGCACCTTTGTCGTAGTACATGCCACACGTTTCCAGGAGGTTACAGACCAAGCGGATGCGGAAGTAGTCGTCTGGGAGATCCAGAGGATTGTAGACTCCAGGTCGTATATACCCGCCCTCCCAGCCGTAGTTCAAGAGTTTGTAGAGCGTGTCAAATATAAGAGGCGAATCAACAAGCCGATAGATGTACAGCTCTCCAAGATACTTGACTTCCGAGATCCGCCGCTGATTGAACTTGAAATCGTTCAACTCCAATCCAAAGGTGATGGATTCGAGCAGGTCATCGACGACAGAAATGGCAAAGTCTTGATGGAACCGATGAATGGTTCCTAGCATCACGGCGAGAAGATGAATGTTGCTGTACTTGATCTTTCCTGGCTTTGCAAACACCTTGTGAAGGAGATTGACCACGTCTTCTTCCTCCCAGTGCATCTTGCGAATCTGCTTGATAGTTTTGTCGAGCGAGCGACGGGTCAAATCCTGGTACATGATTTTACGTAGGAAAAGCTCTATTGGAGTGCGTTCCTTTTGTTCAATTGCAGCACGTTGTGGAGGGTTCACGTAGTAGACGGCGTTTTCGATCAGCATACGCTCCTGCTGGCCGATGACCTGGGCCGCTTTCTTACGCTGGAGAGTTTCCAGGAAAGAAGCCATGCGAGGAGATGTTTCCGGATTGCGGAGTAGATATCGACCACAGTTCTCCAACAGGTTGCAAATAATCTCAATGTTCATGCGTGAAAAGTCGTCCAGACTGACCTTGAGACAATGGAAAATGACGTGCTCCGGAACGACACCGAACTTGGTCAACTCGGCGAGGTAGCGAACATTCTGTGTACGCACTTGTCCGAGAAAGTCTTTGGATTTGCGCCGCTGCAGGCTTCTGAACTCCTCATCCAAGTAGGACACCAGCCCTTGCGGGACATCAGACATGTACTTGCCGAGTGTTGCAATCAGTCTAGAATAAAGAGGCAGCAGGTCGGACCGTCCTTTTGGAATTTCCTGAACAGCCTTGATGAGGCGATTCCGTGAAGCTTTGGAATTCAAGAAGCAAAAGTCCATTGCGGTCTGGTCTACTGCATCCTTGGTTGCAAGTTCTGGTAGGCGTGCCAAAAGAGCATCGACCTGTGCGCCAACAGATTTGTTGGCAATGGCAGTAGACTGATCATCCCCGTCGGCCACTTTACTATCAGCAACGTTATCGGCTGCTTCCTTCTCGGGGCTCTCAGTCTTGGGCTCGATTTTCTTGCCAACTTGCTCGTCGCCATCAGCCTTCTTCTTCTTAACTTCTTCGAGCAAAATACCCGGGACACGGTCTTTCAAGTCAATCAGGTTTTCGTAGAAGCGGCGTTCTTCCTCATCCTCCCAGATACCAGCTCCGTCACTTTGGCCACGTAGATACTCCCCAGCCTTGATTAGACCAATTGAACCATCACCCGTGTTTGCAGAGCCGTCCTTTTCCTTCAAGTCTGGCATATCTGCGTTCAATGCGTCAGCCAAGATTTGAGCATTTGCAATGAGCTTTTCTTGCGACTTCATCTGCTTCTCGTAGTTGGACTGGCGATCTTCAAAGACCTCTCCAGACTTGACATATGCTTCGGCATTCTTGCGGCCTTGGCTAAGTATGTGTTTCTGATCGCGAAGGAGGTGTGCTTTGACATCTTCGAAGTAGCGGGTCAGGATATTTTTGAATCGCTGCTGCAGTTCCGGAGAGATAAGCGGCGGGTCTTTGCTGGCTTCATCTTCTTCCTCAGCGCCAGACAAATCACCATTCTTTTCAGGCACTGTAGTTCCATCGTCATTGACAGTCTTGCGGCCCTCTGCAGAAGGTGGTTTGGTGCCGAGTATATCCCATGCAAAAGCCTTGACAAATATGACAACCAAAGGCAAGTTGACGTGCTCGCGGTCGTGCCCCAGCATGTCCTTCAAGACTTCGAGCGGGAAAGGCTCAGCGTCCGCGTTTTCTGCGCGAGACTTTGTCTTTGTTGAGCCTTCAACAAGCTTGCCATTGTCTTTGCCTTTGCTCGCTTCTTCAGGCCGGGTTACGTCATCCAGGCTTCGCAAGACACCAACAAGCCAGAGTTCTGTAGCAACACGCAGAAGCACACGCTGGCGCGCCAGGCGCTCCTTCTCTTCCCGCTCGCGCACATCCTGTGCGAGGGTTTTCAGGTGTGACTTGTCCGGGGTCGCAAGTCCCCTCCCAATGTACCAGCCAATATATCCCGTGAATTCGGTAGGGCCAAAACGCTGGTGCAGAGCACTGACAATTTCGACGCCGGCGGCAATTTCTCCTGGAGTCTTGAGTTTGCACAGACCTTCGTAGCAAGCGGAAATAATTTCGGAGAGGTATTTATGGAGGGACAAGGCGCGGATTTCTTGGAGGAACTGGGCTTGGGCAGGTGCGTTGATGGCGGTTCGAAGGCGCTTGATAAAGGCGGTATTCTTTTTCATGGACGAGTCGAGCGAGGCTTGGACGGCAAAGACATCTGTCGTACTGTCAGCAGGAGCGTGGGGGGAATTGCCAGCGTGGAAGAATCACTTACCTTGGTCGCCATCCCAGGCGCGAATATTGAGTTCACGCAGCTCTCCTGGTCACTGTTAGCAGCAGTCTTTGAAGCAGCATGCGGGAGCGTACGCTTTCTGTGCCGCTCCATGGTGGAGTAGGCGATGCCGCAGCTGTGGAGGGGCAGCGGACGATAGCACGGATCGGTTATGATACGCGCACATGGAAGACGGGGGATATATCGGGCGCAGCTGCTGCCTGCATTTGTCTGGGCTTGGTTGAACAAGCTGGCGTGAGATGATGGGTGTTTGCGACTCTGGCAATGCCGAGGCGGAGGGGGACTTCTGGTCTGGTTCCTCGCTGGTGCGAGTGTAAATTGTACCTGCAGCGGCTTCACTTGTCGTGACTGTCCGTGCGTCATTCCTGTCCAGTGTCCCGCGGTTGAGAGAGGGTTTGGGTGACTAAGCACATTTTTTTGAGATGTGCCAGGCCAATAGTGGTGCTCCGCCTTTCACTGATCGTCGGCTTGGATTGCACCCCATGGACAAGTACAAAAGTCGACGGTAATCGATGACAATTGCATGCTGTTGGTTGAAGTATTGAAAGTCATGAGCTTCAAAGCTGTTGATTGCACAGCTGTGCAGCCACGATGATTTACCGAATATAGCTTTACTCCTACAAGGTGTATGTAGTCAGGCGTTGCAGGCCTGCCACATCAAGCGCCCCATGTGTCTTTGGCGGCGCACGCGATTGACACGACACAGACACAACAAAAAGCACACATGTATGTAGCCGATGTTGTAAGTTGTATGTATCAAGTTTGGATGTGTTTGCTCCAGGGCCGTGGCCCAGGACAGGATACTAGAGCTTTTGCAGCAGCATTGCCAAGCGAGGGCGAAACCGACCAAGACGATCGGGTACCATTTTCGCATATTGCACATGGGCGAGGACCCTTTTTCAGAGAGCTTCGAACCATGTTAGGTATACATGTACAGAGTTGGAAGCGGCCCCCGGTGGCGGCGTTGCCAGACGGGCAGAAGCAATAACGGGAAGCTGAAACAACAAAACCAATAGCGTGTTAATCTCTACAGAACAAGTAAACCCCTGAGTATGGGGGCAGGGTACCTTGCTTAGTTTGCGACTGGGCTTCATTTACATTTAGATGGAACACTGGGCCGGGCAGATGGTAGAATGAGGCATCCTACTCTAAGCAAGTACTTGGAGGTGGCGGGCAAGAGAGGTGTATGTAGTTCAGGGGTGAGGGAGAGGACGAGTAGAATACGAGGGCAAGGCTGAGATGGCGGCGTCAAGCAGTACATGGTAGTACATAATACGGCAGCGCTATGGCGGACGATTCGCGAAGAGACATGGGGGGCGGCTAAATGGCCGTACTTCCTTACGAGGAGGCTCCGACAAGAGGCGATTCTGGACTCAAGGGGGGGAAGGGAGCATCATGAGCCAAGGCCGCAACGAGCGGGCGGTGTGCTGTTCAACATGGCAAGGGTTGAGCAGCGTGGGAAAAGCAGCGTGGCATGTGGCGGGCGATTGAGTTTGCATTTGCATTGAACAAGCACATGGACACCTACTTTCCCATGGCGACGGGTCTGCAGGCCAAAGACGGCGCGCGCAGGAGCAGGAGCAGGAGCAGGAGCAGGAGCAGGAGCAGGTGCAGGCGGGAGTCAGCACTATCGATTGCGCGCCGGCGGACGCATGAGCGGATACGGGATGGCGAAATTTACACCTAATAGTAACTGGTGGCTGAAGTGGCTCCCGAGGTGCAACAACCATGTTTCCATATGCGACATGACGAGGACCACGCCGAGAGCAGCAGTGGCAGTGTGGGAGAAGTTAAAAATGGCCAGCTGCGGGTGTCGGTACAAACGGATGCAGCACGGGGCTCTGGTGTTTGTCATTGGGCAGGGTGTTGGGATTCCCACAGCCGCCTTGTGCTTTTTTTTTCCTTGAAGCGGGTCGCTCTAGCATCCCCACTGCATGCTCGTATTTTGGCAAGAGTATTTTTCCTAGCGCTCAATGCTCCCCGGTATAGCGGCGCAGGAGAAGCCGAAGGAAAGGGGGGGGGAAGACGGAAGCAGCGGAGCGTTTGTTGTCACGGGCAGAGTACGAGCGAACAGCGATTCCCGCGCGCAGTGTGATAGATGGACATGACAGACAGCCTTGCCGTCGGGGTTTCAGGCCAAACATGAGTCGACGACTAGGAGTTGGATGATGCTACACTAGAGGGGAGCAACGGCAGCGGCGCATAGCGGCTGACAAGTTTGGGTGTCTGGGGAGGTGGTGCGGTATGGTGTGGTGGATATGGGTGTGGGTGTGGGTGCGCAAGCCCCCTGAGTGAGTGCCCAGTATTGTAGGCAGAGGCGGGCGAGGCTAGCCAGGGCTTGGCAATGCTATAGGCACGTAGCGGCATGGAAGCAGCGTCCTAATCTCCAATCGCCATGCGCACGCGGTGACAGGACGTCATGTTACAGTGCCATCGTCCTCATGACGTGGGTTTTTGTCGCGGCTATTGTGACCGTTGAGTTTTTTTCCCTGCTTCCTGCTTCTGACCTCTGCCGTGAGCCGTGGATGGAGGAGGGCGCCAACTGCCATGCTCGCTAGTAGCACGCATGCTGCTGTTCCAAGAGCCAAACCCTGGGGCTGGCCAGCAACCGCGTCGGATGGAACCAGCCAGCAAGCGAAACCCAGACAGGGAACCAGAGACGGCAGGGGGCCGGCGCCCAAAATAAACGTGCAATGGACGACGAGTAGCGCGTGCAATAGTTGGTAGTACTTATGTGATGGCAGCGACACACGCACACGCCCACCGCCCCTGCACGACGTTCGTTTTCGAGTCAAGGACGCGGGCAGGCCTGCCTAAGCGGGCGCCGCCCGCCCCTGTGCCGATCGCGCCTTCCAACTGCCGCCCAGCCCCGCTAGCCCCCTCTGGGGTATGGTGCCATGGCCCGAGCGCTTCCGCTGTGTTTCCCACCAGCCTGTAAACCAGGCCAGTCCCGCTGCGAGACCATCGACGACTTTTGTTCCGTTTCACCTGCAGGCGCCTCTTTGCATCTGCTTGCTTTCTTCCTCTCCCATCCTGGCCGTTGCTCCTCGCCTTATCATCGTCCATGGTCCTGCACTGAGCCCTGCCTTTGTTTGCTGCCTTTGTTCCCAACCTTTACACTCGTTTACCACGGCTCTGCACCCTCCATCCTCCCCACTGGATTAAAAGCCCTGCCGCCAGCGCTACTGCTACCGCTGCCTTTGCCGCCCAAGCCACAAGCCACGGCCGCCATCGACTGCTAGCACCAGGCTCCGTGTGCACCGCATTTGTGCAATCCCACTCTTCATTGTCGCCCTATACGACCATTTTCTAGTCTCGTACCACTACCACTACTTCAACTGCTGCTGCTGCTGCTGTTGCTTCTCAACTCCACGGCGCAGCCGCTACGCCTGCACCTTTCACGCTCGCTCCAGAGCTGTCCGCGACAGACATCAACACTCGCTACTTCTACCCCAACAATACCACGACCACCATACTCCTCCTAATTATTCACAATGGCCTCGCACCACCTCATGGGCCTCGTTGCCCGAGCAGATGACAGTATCCCTGACTTCACCGACCCGTGGCCAACAAAAGACGTAAGTGTTTTGTTTTATCCCCAAACTTGTCGTTTCCCTGCTCACTGACCGCCCCAGATCGTCTATGTCTCCATCATCGCCCCTCTCATGCTCATGGCCCTGCTCGAGTGGTTTCTCTGGGTCGCCGCGTTCATGTACTGCATCGTCAAGGTCTTCCAAAAGGCAGAGACCATGAGCGTGCGCATTCTGTCCATCTTCTTCGGTATCCTCTTCTTCCTTCTCCGGTAAGCTACATCTCCCACCCACAAAAAACTGCTTCTGACAGCAACAGTGCCATCTTCTTGCCCATCATGGTCGTCACCCTGCCGCTCCCGCCGCAGGTCACCAAATACTTTCCCCAGGAAATGGTTGGCTTCCTCCAGTGGTTTGCCTTTTGGTCTTTTGCTGGTCTCCTGACGGTTCCTTGGCTGTTCTGCGTCTACCAACTAGTCACCCACTCCGTTGGCCGCTCCCGCAGGATCAAGTCGGTCCTTGACGAGTCGTCGGCTCCCAAGGTCGTCATTGTCATGCCCTGCTACAAGGAGATTCCTGAGATTCTGCTGCGAACTTGCGATTCGCTCGTCGACTGTGAATATCCACCTTCTTGCCTGCACATTTTCCTCTCGTTCGACGGAGACCAGGAGGACGAGCTCTACCTCAACACCATCGAGAAGCTCGGTGTGCCCCTTACTCTCGACTCGTACCCAAAGTCCATCGACGTCATCTACCGTAGCTGCCGTATCACAATCTCGCGTTTCCCTCACGGCGGAAAGCGTCACTGCCAGAAGAGGACCTTTAAGCTGATTGACAAGATCTACACCGAGTACCTCAAGCGCAACGACAACCTGTTCGTGCTCTTCATCGACTCCGACTGTATCCTCGACAAAACGTGCATTCAGAACTTCATGTACGAGATGGAGCTCAAGCCTGGTAGCAAGAAGAACATGTTGGCTCAGACTGGTGTCATTACATCGACAACCGAGAAGCAGTCCCTCATCACTCTTCTCCAGGACATGGAATACGTTCACGGTCAACTATTTGAGCGTTCGGTCGAATCTGGTTGCGGTGCTGTCACCTGCTTGCCCGGTGCTCTTACTATGCTTCGATTCTCGGCCTTCCGCAAAATGGCAAAGTACTACTTCGCTGACAAGGCCGAGCAATGCGACGACCTCTTCGATTACGGCAAGTGCCACTTGGGCGAGGACCGTTGGCTCACCCACTTGTTCATGGTCGGCGCCAAGGAACGCTATCAGATCCAGATGAACCCCGGTGCTTTCTGCAAGACTGAAGCTGTGCAAACCTACCAATCGCTGCTCAAGCAACGTCGCCGCTGGTTCCTGGGTTTCATCACCAACGAAGTGTGCATGTTGACTGACATCCGTCTCTGGAAGCGCTACCCCATCCTTCTCGTCGTTCGCTTCATGCAGAATACCATCCGAACAACTGCCCTCCTCTTCTTCATCCTGTGTATTTCTCTCATGACCACTTCGCAAGCAGTCAAGAACTTGCCTGTCGGTTTCATCGCCATCTCCCTTGGACTCAACTGGCTTCTCATGTTGTACTTTGGTGCCAAGCTCGGCCGCTACAAGATCATGTTGTACCCCCTCATGTTCGTCATCAACCCCTTCTTCAACTGGATGTACATGGTCTACGGTATCTTCACTGCCGGTCAGCGTACATGGGGAGGTCCTCGTGCTGATGCTGGAACTGCCGATGCCAAAACAACTCCCCAGGAAGCTATTGAGAATGCAGAGGCCAACGGTGATGATCTCAATGTCGTTCCCGAGACATTCAAGGCTGCCGCCGAGGCCAAGAAGTCCCACGCCGGCGGTGCCCCTCTCCAGCCCTCAGACAACATCGATGGACGCTTTGCTGCCGCAGAGCGCTTGCCCAATGGATGGTACCAGCAAGGCAACGACTCTGGTCTCACTCTGCCCAACACCATGCCCCGCAACCCCAACGTCCCTCACGTTCCTCTGCACCCACGTACTTCGATGGATTCGTTCGCCTCCTACGACACTTCTGCCAACAACTCGGTCTACCTCCCCCGTCGTGTCGAGAGTTTCATGGATCCCGAAGATGCCCGTGTATACCACAAGACGCAACAAACTCAGAAGCCTGCTGGTGGTGCCTTCTTCGAGGAGCCTCGCACTGGACCTTACCAAGTCGGTGCCGGCGCTAGCAAGGGCATGTACAGCGAGTCTGTTGACTCAGTCGACGACGATTCAGTCTACAACTCTAAGAACACCCAACAACTGGGACAATCGCGCACCTCGCCTCTCTCCGCTGGACAGAAGCCTCCTCTCGAGTCGCCAAAGCCATCATACAACCGCTCAAACAGCATGGACCAACGACAGGGACGCAGTCCTCTTGCGTACCAGAGCTACGTCCAGACTACACCAGGCGATGACATTGAGCTTCAGGCCCCTCAACAGAGCAGTCTGATGCGCGACGTATCACCTGCGCCACTTGGCCAGCCCGTCATCCCTGCCGCAAGCCACGGACGCAGTGATTCGACTGACTCCAAGAAGCGAAACAGGCTCAGCAAGCAGAAGCCTAGCAAATAAGCGCAATCCCTTTTTCGTTTGAGCGTTTCGGTTCTTGTTCCGTCTGCAACTCCAGTAGTCGCTCAACAGGCGTTCTAGCATTCCCTTTTCCTCATGGTCTTGCACTTTGTCATGCATTTGGATTTTCTGGCGTTTATCAGCAAAGCACCACACAGCTTGTGGCTTTGCGGACTTTTATTGGTGTATATAACACTTTTTGGCTATCACTATACAATGACTGGGGGGTTGACTGGAAAAATTACGGTTTGCTGCACGACGTCAGCAGATTATGACATGGCGTCGCTCATGGGTGGAGAGCTCTTGATTACAAAAAGCCTTGCTAAGGTTGATACACGTACATGGGACCATGTGATGGACTGGATAAACCGTTGTGCTTAATGTCTAGACTATATTTTGAAAAAGAAGAGCATTGATATGTATTTTTCCTAAGAGATTGTCAAACGTATTCCATGTGATGACCTTGCTGGAGAGTGATTTGACCAAGTGAATAGTGTTCAACTATTGTCGGCTTTCATACAAGTGCAACCTCTGAAGGCCTTGGCCAGCTGGTTGTTGGATGTCGAGTAGCGTATTTCGTAGTACGACATCTGTTTGATATGTAGAATTGATTCTAGACATGTTGATAGTGGCATGACCAGTTGACAGAAGTACCCAGCAGCGTACATATTACAAGCTACCCGCTGCCTTCTTCCCCGCCTTCTGGAACAACTCTGGGTGGTCAATCGCGTACTGTGCGCCTGCCGCCCAGTGATACAATTTCGCCGCAATCACGTACCCTTCCTTGGCAAACTCCTCGAGCCGCGTGTACAACTCAGCTACAGGAATATTAACACGCTGGATATCCTCGCCCTCATCCAGATGCTGTTCGGGCTCTGAATCCCCTTCCTTCAGATGAATCTCCACCATGCATAGACACAGATTCGCACTCGTCATGCCGGGATCCGCAGCTACAGCCGGAGAGGTAGAGACAACGGTGCCCTTGTACCCTGTCTCCTCGTATAGCTCACGCACCGCTGCTTCCTCGGGCGTCTCATCCTTGTCGATGAGGCCGGCAGGCCACTCGACGGTAAATCCACCGACGGGTGGACGGAACTGGATCACCACGATGGTCGATGGTGGCTTGCTGGGGTGGTAGATGATGTTGCCCATGGCCACGGCGTCGACGCCTGCGCTCCCGGTTGTCTTGCGGCTAGCAATTTCCCACACGCGGGATGCGCCGTGGGCGTCGGTGTAGGTGGCTTTTTGCAGTTTGATCCATTTTGCCTCTGATGAGGGGAGGTCCGTGAGAGAAGTTATTTTGGGCGTTGCCTTGTTATTGTTCGAGGCCATTGTTACGGCTTTGACGCGGGATACAAGTGTGGATGTGGAAGGGCGGGGTGTGCTGTGGAATAGACGATTGTGTGTTGCCTTGGTCGCTTTCCTTGTCGTGTTCTTGAATGCCCTTGTTAACATCCAAAGCGGCAATGGATGTTGTCGTGATTGCTTGTAGTAGACGGAGTGTGATGGCACTGTCTAGGAGAGTGAGGGGCACAGCTAGACAGAGATGAGCAAGGCCGTCAAAGTCAAGAGGCTGTGTATAACTTGATTAGGAAACGTAATAGGAGGGTGCGTTTTTGCTTTCTCAAGTCGTCTAGATAGATGACAGAAAATGTGGTGCAAAGGCTCCAATGGAACGGTCACGATTGCAAGACCCCGCTGCATTAGCGTCAGGAACACACGACAAGCTCACCTTACGTCACGGGAAAGTATTGCAGGGATCGGATAAGCATTGGTTATCGATACAAACTTGATACAACGAAGTAAGCTTTCAATTCTTGCACGGTCGATATCTCGCAATTTCTCATGTCTTGTTGGTCATCTTATGGTTCTGTGTAGCCCTACTTGCCTACGTACACTTTTCTTTCATCACTATTTGCAATTAAACATGCTATCACTTCGCGCCGTCCGACGTGCAACGCCAAAAATTCCCAAACACTCAAGAACTCTTCATAGATCCTTTACATGCACAGCTCGCCTAGATGCAGACTTCACACACGCTGTGATAGGTGGTGGCGTCGTGGGACTTGCCATAGCCCGTAAATTGCAATCTCGGCCCTCAACCTCGACAGTCCTGATAGAGAAACATGGAACCGCGGGCACAGAGACAAGTTCACGGAACAGCGAAGTCATACACGCAGGGCTATACTATGGCCCCTCTTCTCGAAAAACCAAACTCTGCATCAGAGGCAAAAACTTGCTGTACGAACTGTGTGCCCAACAAGGCATTCCCCATCGCAACACGGGAAAATGGATTGTAGCACAAGATGTCGAGCAAATGGAAGCTTTGGAAAAAGTGCACGACTTCGCTCAGAGCATCGGTGTACCGACAAGATTCCTAAGTAAACAAGAGGCAGCAACAAGAGAACCCGAGGTCCGCGCCGAAGCAGGCGTCCTCGAGAGTCCCAGCACAGGAATCATAGACTCCCACAGCCTAATGCAGTACCTCGAAGGCGACTTTGAAAACAACGGCGGAATCTGCGCCTTCAACTCTCCCGTCACCCGTATCACACCGATAGATTCTGGCCGCGGAGGCTGGGAAATCACCACGACGACGACCGAAGAAACAAGCACCATAACAGCAGAAACCCTCATCAACGCCGCAGGCCTCTACGCCATCCCCCTCTCCAACACCATCTTGCCCCCTTCACGCCAGAAAACCGCCTTTTACGCAAAAGGCTCCTATTTCTCGTACAGCAGCTCCCGCCCCCGCACATCCACCCTCGTCTATCCCGCTCCTATACCAGGCCACGCGGGGCTGGGCACGCATCTGACGCTCGACCTCTCTGGCCGCATCCGCTTCGGGCCGGACGTCGAGTGGACGGATTCGCCCTCGGACTACACTCCGAACACCAAGAACCTGACTGCCGCTATTGCAGACATCAAGACGTATCTACCCGGTGTGCAGGCTGATGCCATAGCCCCGGATTACGTGGGTATACGACCCAAGTTGGGGAAGTTGGCGGCAACGAATGCCGGCAAAGGGTTTCAGGATTTTTATATTGAGAAGGAGGATGGGTTTGAGGGATGGGTTAATTTGTTGGCGATTGAGAGTCCTGGGTTGACGAGTTGTTTGGCTATTGCAGAAGAGGTGGAGGGGTTGTTGTATCGATGATCTCTTTTATATTGTTGTTAATCACTACTCCAATTGTTTATTTTGGATCTGGGTGGATTGTCTGGAGAATCTTGTACAAATGCGAATGTATGTAACAGATAATTCTGAGAAATTGATCATGACACAAGCATACAAAGTCTGCTGAATGAAATTTCTAATGGTGGACAACCCTTGTTATCCATGCATTAAATTACAACTTTTGATCACGTCTAAAGTTATATTCCCCAGCTTTCTACCTCTCATCCTCAATCTGTCTCCTCAGATCCTCCAACACGGCCTTTCTACTCTCCAAATGCGCCTGTAACCCCTCAACTTGTTCTCTCACCGTCTCAATCTCTTCCCTAATACCGCCCAGCCCCTTGACTGCACCTCCGTCGTCATTGTCGAGCTCTTTGAGCACGTTGCGCTTGTAGTCAAGCAAGAGCTCTAACTCACGCTTAACCAGTGCCGGCTTGCTATCTGTGTTGCGGCCATGCCGCCTCTTCTCGACTTCCTTCTCCACATCCGCCATCTTTTGCTCAAGCTCACGCAGCTGCTTCTTAAGCCGGACCTCTTCCCAGTCTTCTGTTGTGCGGCCACCAAAATCAGTGCCCTTTCCGCCTCGCGCACCGTAGCTGTTCGCGCGGTCACCGACACCCAGGCGTGTGAGGTATGCGTCGCCAAACTTTGCTTTGCGGCCCGAGGCTGTGTTCTCATCGCGCGAGGCCGCCCATCGCGAGTTAGCGCTAGAGTTGATGTCGTAGTCTATGTGCGCCTTTTCGAAGCTTGCCCGTAGCGACGGGGGCACACTGCGTGGGACGCGGAATCCCTCGCTTCGTTGGTTGAGAATGTGCAGGAAAGTCAGAGCAGCGTCTTTGCCTACACTTTCTCTTGCCTTTGGGTTGACCAGGTTCCATGCAAAGCGTATGTCCGAGTCTGGCACGTCTTCGAGACTGTCAAACAGCCCAGCCAGGCTGTCAAAGGTGATGTTGCCGTGGCCGTCGCGGTTCGCAGTGTAGATTTCCTCGTACTTGGCCTTGTCTCCGGGTGATATGTACCAGTCGAAGCCGTCGCGCAGGCCCGGTGTGTCGTCATCGTCTTCGACCGTCTCGTATGCGGGTTGTGAACCGGTAAGAGCGCGTGTCGCTTGCACAAGGTGTGCTTTTGATTCAGGCACCAGCCAGTCGGGCAGGACTTTAGGCACATCGACCGATACCTACGAGACCCTTATTAGTACGCATATGATGCCTGAGTTTGTCGTGTGCGACATACCCCATTGATCAGGTCAAAGATGAGTCGCATAGCCACGCAAAACTCCTCAAAGTCCAGCTTGCCGTCATTGTCCACATCCGCAAGATCCCACACGCGCTCTAGTTGATCGTCTCGGAGGTGCGAGTTCTTGAGCACAGGGGCGGCCTGCGCGCCGTCCAGATGGGTACCGCCATTGCTAAGTGAGCTGAAGATCTCCCAGTACTTTTCGATTTCATCCTGCTCGATGCGATTCGGCGCCATGTTGCAGGAGTGATATATGCCTTGAGAAGGAAAGGAAAGTAAAGTAAAGTAAACCAAGGCGGTATGGGAGACGTTTGGGTACAGTTGCGGGCGGTCGGGATGGCGGAGCTGTCTGGCCGCGACTGGTGCTGGCCCGGGGGTGGGTACGTACCATCCATCGGGCTGCTACTGACTAGCCGAACCCGCGACACCCCATCGTCGTCATCCTCTCCACCACCAAACCATAAGCTTAGCACCCATGTAGACTGTTAAACAGCAGCAACAGCTCACTCTAACGACCTCAAATCACAACGTTCATACCATAAGGCAAAACATACAAAACATTCCCTGAGGTTCGATTCGATCCTTATTTGTCTAAGTACGTAGCAACTCCTTATTACACTTCACATCAACCCAACAATGTCAATACAACCGAAAAACAAGAGATTCCCGCATTTTCCTACTTGGTTTACGCCCGTGTGCAAAATGTACAATCAAATGATAGACTGCATGCATCGTGCAAAACATGTAACAAACAAACACCGCTAAATGCAACCTTTTTCAACCTTGCTCTATCCTCACTGCTTAAGCCATGTTGGCAAGCTCGTGATCAATAGCCTGGGCAAGGAAAATCTTGCGCTCGCCCGTCAGCTGCACTTGCAGCCTCTGCTCAGCAAGCGCGATGATCTGCTTGCGCGTTACCCGGTCCAGATCCGCGTCCTTGAGACACGCCTGTACAGTCTCGATGATCTGACCATCACTAGGTCCGTTCATCATGGTCTGGAAGTTGGTAGTGCTGCCTGGGCGTGACTGGCTGGCACCATAGCTAAGAGGGCTTCGTCCGCGAATCGGTGGTGTAGACGCCATGAGGTTGTCCGAGCTCTGGAAGCCGGCCATGCTCTGGCGTTGGCCATAGGGAGACGCCGTGTTGTTGCGGTAGTGGTCGCTCATGTTGCCCATGGACATGAGACGGCCGTCTTGTGGGTTGTCTTGGTACCGCGTCATGTGCGAGTATGTCGACTGGCGTCCCTGCATGCCCTGATAGGGACCGGGAGACTGAGGTGGCATGTGCGAGATGTGATGCATGTTGGACAGGACGGTCGATGCTGGCTTGACTGACGAGTAGACGGATTGCATGTCGTTCATCTCGTAAGCCTCGTCCTCGTGTGCGTTGAAGCCGCCCTTCTCAGTACCCATACCGGGGAGACCACGGCGACCAGGGAGGTCGTTGCGTTCAGCGTACTCGTCCCATCGCATCATGGGAATGGCCTTTGGATCAAAACCCTCTTCGTCAGTCGTGAGGACTTGCTTGGTTCCTTGTTCACCAATAACGACACGAGTGTTACCCCACGAGAAATCGTCCTGCTTCCAGAACGAATACATGGGAAGCGCCAGTGAGTAAATGGGGAACGCCATGATGTAGATGATCATCCATCCAACGTGTTGCCACTGTCGCTTGATGATGAAGATGAGTGCCTGCAGACCGTACACGGCAGCCAACATGACAATGGACAGCAAGGGAAATTGTCCTGTGCCGGAAGAGACCATGTAGACTAGGTAGACCAAGTATGCGCAAATAGATGGCAGGATGAGAGTACCGAAAAGATCGACAAAGACGACGAATCGCATGGAGAAACAACAGAAACCGCAGAGATCCTTCAAGAAGACAAGTTCAGCCAAGTTGTGAATGGTGGAGTTGATCCATCGACGTCTCTGAGAAAGCAAAATGCTCCAGGTATCAGGAGCAGCAGTGAGAGCGTAGGCGTCGGGGATAAACTTGTACGACATGTGAGGGAAGTACTTGGTCATCAAGGTGGTCAGATAACGATCCTCACCAAGTGAGAGCAAGTTCTTCTTGTGCAGTGTGTCAACAACGCAGTCGGCATAGTCCTTGATGATCTTGTCCGAGATAAGCAGAGGCTTGCCCTTGTCGGCAGTACGGAGACGGTACATAGTGAAACTAAAGCACGTTAGTAACGGTGCAGTCATGGAGTCCATGACAGAATACTCACCAACCAGGCAAACAGGTAACACTGCCAAACAAACTTTCGAAAGCCTTTGACAGATGATGCGAAATGTAGTACTCGTAAACTTGGATCATAGTCCACCAGGATCTGTCCTCATTTTCCAAGCTCGTCTCACCACAGATACCGGCAATCTTGGAGTCGTGGGTACAGGCTGCCACAAGACGGTTGAGAGAATCAGGCTTGACTAGGGTATCGGCATCAATCATGAGCAGATACTCGTACAGCTCAGGGTCCACACCGATAATGTTGTTGATTTGGTGGAACATTTCAAGCTCGAGAGGGTTCATAGCAGATCGGTGGTGGACACGGTTGAGGAAGCTCATGAGCAAGATCTGAGAATCACGCTTTCCACGGTTACCAGGCTTGGACTTGGATTGTTCAGACTCCTTGCCCATCTTGACGACCACAATGTACGGAACAACGTTGCCTTCAAATTCGTAGAGACCAGAGTAGACCTTGCCGTAGTTGAGCTGCTGGCTCCCTTCACCAACAGACCAGAAGGGAAGCGCTGGCGGGTCGACCTTGGGATCAACACCAAGAATGTCGAGCACAATCTTGGGGGTAGGGCGATCGTTACCACCTCCGACAATCATTCCGTCACAAATGACACAGATGAGTTTGCGCTTGTTGTCGTATGCGAGAGCAGTGAGAGAGTCGACACTCTTTCGGATAGAGTCCTCGCCTTCGGTATATGCTGGAACTTGGCAAATGACAAATTTGTCCTGGTTGGCCGGGCGCTTTCGGGAACCCAATTGGAGAGCAGCCAAGAACTTGATTACAATGACTGAACAGAGCATAATGGTAAAGGCGAGAAGGATGTAATCGTTGACCACACACTTGGCATCCTTACGGAAATCCGTCCTACCAACGTAGAAGAGATTGTCCAGGCATTGAAGATTGAAGGCTTGTGAAGTGTCGTTGAGCTTGTTCGAAAAGTCCTCCGAAAGCTCGCCACCGGCGTTGTTCTTAACCATGTCCACTAGTTTGGGGTCGAGGAAGTTGTACTGGGGAAGGTCTTGCATATAGTCGATTGTAACGAAGTAGTTTGTCAAATCGTAAACCTTTTCCTTGAGCCTGAACCACATGCGGTTGTTGTCTTGGCCTTGATTTTTGATGTCGTCAATTTTCCAGACAAGTTCTCCCTTGCGGTATTGTTTGATAGCCGGGAGGAACACTTTGGGGTACCAATCTTCTTGTTTCAAAGCCTTGCTGTCAGGCATGTTGGTTTGCGAGCCGGAAGTGTGCACAGCCAGAGAGTTGAGGCTCTCTGAGATGGAGGTGTTGAGCTTCAGCTGCAAGACACGGTTCTGGGGGGTATCCTGGATGAGATTGGGGCAGGCAAGATATAGCGGGGGGATGATGTAGGGGTCCATGTCGGCTCCGGCCATTTCCATCATGCGCTCGTTGGTGGTCTCGGTGTTGGAGTCACTGTGCTGCTTCCTCCAGAAAGAGGTCAAATCGTAGACAGTACCGTGGTGGCTGACAAAGTAATCCTTTGCGCCCTGGTGAGCGGCCACTTCTTTCGTGTTCCATACCTTGTCTTTGTTGGGACACAGGAGTTTACCAAAAGCGACAATGTAGAAGACAATGGTGGCGTTGAGCAGCATAATGAGTATAACCAGAACGAGCTTTTCTCGCCATGCCATGCGAACATCAGGTCGCTTCATTCGCCCAACCCATTTGAGCAGTGGTGAAGGGACCCAAAATGTGACTGCCCAGACGAATGCAACCCATATTCTTCGGGAAGTGGTCAAGCTGGTCTGAGTGACGACACCATTGCCGGAATTCTCGAGATCAAAGTAAGAGACACCCTTGTTTTCATCGCCTTTCATACCAAGACCGTAATCACCAGGTCCAGTAGTTGGAACTGTAAGGGCGGTGGGAGCAAGAGATTTGGCATCCGCAGCAACGCCCGCGTGAAGACTAGTCGTGCTCTGGAACGGATTTTGAGGAGTGGCCGATCGCGCGTCGGGAAGAGGCGGGAAGAAGGTGCTCGCAGTGGGTGGGAGCTGATTGTTGTATGCGCTGTCCATAGCACCAGCACCAACCATGCCTCCCATGATGCCAGAAGCACCAAATTCTTGGGTCTTGAGGTCGAGTTGTGACTCTGCTTCCCACCATACGCCTTCTCTGACCCATACACGCTCCTTTCCAACCACAACTTCGCCGTTGCTCCAGCCACGCTGTAGAACCCAATTTTGAATACCTTCCTGGCCGTCCATGCAACCAAGAGGAGCATATCGGTCATGGAACTCGTGGTGATCAAAATCAGCAGTGAAGTCAAGGTTGCGGTTGCGTCGGTTGGCCCATTCTGGGAGACGCCACTCACGTAGTTGGCGGGAGATGACACCCGCTTGCCATGTGGAGTTCAGATCCTGGTTCAAGGATGTAGGGATGCTGTCGGAGGGGTGAAGTGCGAGCTGAAACCAGACTCTGCTGCTAGCCACAGTCATGGCCAGATCGAAGCGGCCGTGCTTGCCAAGAACGATACCGCCGTTGGGCACGGGGTATAGCAGTTTCTTCACGAAGTTGTCTTGGTCTGGAATCTCGAGGCCGAGTTTATCTAGGACAGCCTCGCGCCTCTCCAAGTCGCCCTCTTTCTCGCGCAGAGCTGCGCCATTGATACCCAGGTCGGCACCGCAGACTTGCATGGCCTCCCTCATGCTCTCGAGCACCGCGTTAGCCACTGGGGGTACGGGTACGCCGTCTTCGCGCATCTCGGCATTAATGCCTTCGCTATCGTCGAAGACGGTACGAAGTGCGACCGCCTTACCAAGCTCACGGCTGGGAATATCGACAACAGTGATGTTGACAATGTCTCCGTCCTCGGATTCACTAGGTGTCATGATACCACTGCCATCGCTGTCATCCATAGCGTAACCATTCTTGGCGCGTTGGATTTCGCTCTTGATGGAGGCATTGGCGTGGACAATGACAAAGTCCACAATAGCCTCGTAGAGACCACCGATGACAACTTCGCGTTCGTTGGAGGCG